AAAATGAAAAATGAAAAATAAATTTAATAAGCACGATTTCATGATCACTGATAATGTTCTCAGAATAGTAAAAGTGTTTCATGCATTCACTTGAACCTTGTTTAGCTTAACAAGTCCTTTTTGGGGTATACTATGAAAATTACAATTTTTCAGATGAGAAAACTAAGGTTCAAATCATACACACGCTTTCTAGAATTCACAGAAATAATAATTAAGTGGAATGTACTTCTCTTAAGTGCTGTGTCCAATTCCTCTCTAATTGTACCAGAAATATGGATCTGTAGGGTCATTTACACCACTATGGTCATGGTCTTCTCCAACTCCAAAAGTAATGGAATCCCCTCTCCTAATGCCTCTCATTGGATCAAACTAAGGGCAAAGGAGAGGAGGGCCAGAGAAAGGGCAGGATTTGGATGAGAAGGAGGAGAAGGGAAGGAAGAAGAAAGGGAAGAAAATGAGGGAAAGAGAGGAGAAAAGTAAAAAATGTGCCTTTAATTATTATTGAAATAAGCTTCTGTTTTTCAATAATAATTTGCTTAAGCAAAGGTGAGGATTCCATCTCTAACAGTTAAAGAGCAGTGCATGGAGCCCCCAGCACTCTGCACTATCCCTGATGTTTCCTTGCCCTCTTATCCCTTATATTCCTCACAGCAGCTAGCTCAGCAGAAGGTCATCTTTCCCTTCAAAGTTATATCTGCTTTTTCCCTGGCAGGGTTACCACTTCCTCTGTCACAGACTGTAATTAATTGGGAACATCTCTGATGTTCTTCCAAGAACTTATCTAGATTTCTCAGTTACTGCAGCATATCCAAATGGAGACAGCATCTTCCTTTAATTCACATCCTCCTCTGGTTTCAGGGGCCCACAGCTTCCTGATAACCACTATATCTCCTTTCAGCTGAGAGCAGGCACATGTGACCACTAGTTTTCAACATGCAAGGTTTCTTGAAGCCTCATAGTTCAGATCTAAATGACTTATCTTACTCAACATTCCCTCCCCCAAAAATAAGAAAAATAAAAACAAAAAACTGACCTAAAACATACAAATATTCTTATACTATAAAATGGTACTAATAACCATTGCTCCAATCAAACAACTACGGTCACCCTTAATACCATCCTCTGTCCATCTCCACATCCAATCTATCAAAAATTCTTAATAACTTTGCCTAAGAAATATTGTGACTCCTTTTTTATATCTTTATTAAAAGCCTATTTATCTGAGGTAAGCACTAGTTCTTGCTTACATCCCTACAATATCATTCAGTCTCTTTTCCAATCCCTCCAACCCATTGTGGTGGAATCACATTTCCAAAATAAAAACCCAGTCTGGCCTCAACCACACTGCCAGACTGCCCTGACTAAAATCCTTCAGCGGTCTGAATGTGGTCAGTAAATGCATGATAAATTCTGTAATCTAGTCTGAGTTCTTATTCTCTCTATCTTTGCATGCTCCCTGTACCTTTTATATATTTCTTGCTTCTCCTGTTTCTAATCTCAAGCACAAACACTTTGAACTTTGTTTCCGTTCTCAGCTTAATTTCTTTGAGACTTTGTTACCAATTTCAGCTTAATTTTTTCAAGACATTTTTAACTAGACAGATTTTATTTCTATATTAATATTTTTTATTATTTTCTGTCTAACCTTATATCACTCACTATGCTGAGGGTTTGGCAAGGATATCTGTTTTGCTCATACAGCAGTTACCAACCCCTACTGTTCAGACTGGCTCACTGCAGATACTAAAAATTGTTTAGAGAAATGATAGGCATCATTACTTTAGCTTTATTATAAATTTGGTATCTACTTACTGCACTAGTCTGAAACTATTTAAAGATCAAGATCTTACCTACAGAAAATAATCTCCTATGCTTAGCACAACTCCTGGTCTGTAGAATCTTTAAAAACCTTTTATTCAATGATTAAATTGGATATTATCCATGGATCTTGTTGTTTGAATGAAAATGTCCCCAATAAGCTCCAAGTATTTGGACATTTTGTCCCCAGTTGGTGCCACTGTTTTAGGAGATCTTAGAAAGTTTGGCTATCCTGGAGGAAATACATCACTGGAGGCAGGCTTAGAGGGTTCTTAAGCCTTGCTGGATCTGGAGTTGCTCTCTTTCTTCCTGTGCCTGCTGGAAGATGTAGAGCTTAGTTTCTACTCCTCCTCCAGCCACCTCTGCCATAATGCCTCCCCACCAAAATGGACTGTAATTCCCCTGGAACCCCAAGCTTAAATAAATTCTTTCTGTCATATGTTGCTTTGGTCAGTGTTTCTATCACAGGAACAAAAAAGTGACAAATACAGATCTCTTCATGTTTGATGGTTTAATATAGAATGGATTTTTAAACAATTTTTTGTGATCCACAAGCTCAAAACTTGAAGTTATTGTAGACTGATGTATTTTCTTCAATTTTGTACTATAGATGAAGCATAAAAATATGTCACACATCAGAAGCCTCAAAACCTCTAAAATAGCCCTTTGATTGTATTTAATTTCACTGATCTGTTCTAGTCTTACTTTTCTATCATACAAATACAACAGTAGCCACCTCTGAGGATTCTTACCTACAGTTAAATTCTTTTAATTTCAGCATCACTCATCTATTTGGGGTTTGTTAAATTTGAACATGTAATAAACATGTTCCCTATTTAAAATCCTATGTTGAAGGCTGGCAAGATAACAGTGTGAAGGGGCACTTAGAACCAAGTCAGACAGCTTCAGTTTAATTCCTGGAACTCACATGGTAGAAAAAAGAACCAATATCTCCACATTTTCTTCTGACCTCCACATGTATGCTGTGACATACACACTCCCACATACATTCACATCATGCACACTTAAACTCAATCAGCCAATTAATCAATGATGAAAAGATTTCAAAACTAAAACCCTATCTTGAGAAAACATTAACTTTCACATCATATTGTAGTGTCTGAATGCTGATTAGTGACATAGAAAAAAATGACCACACAATAACTATTAAAATCAGGATTGACAACAGTTTTCCAAATAAATCACAATTGCTGAATTAAAAAATGCAGTATGCTCAGATCATGCATAAGGAGAGGGAACAAGATGAGGAGAAGACAGAAACAAACCAGGAAGACAGGGAGCAAGTGTAGCAGGAAGAAAACGGCGCTTAACGAGAAAGCAAAAGGGAAGTGTGAATATTTTTGGATGGCAAAAACAGAGGTGAGCTTCATCTTCCACTGAATAATTTTATGTTTTTT